TGCTCTCGAATTTCTTTCAAATTTGATTTTAAGGGGATGCTTAATAGATCAGTTTGCATAGCTTCATCTGCCATCATAGCCCTTTGCCTTTTGTTGATAACGTCGAAGAGCAACGTTTTTAATTCTTTGCTCATCTTTTTCATTCTATTGTTTGACTTCGTTGGTACAAACCTGCACAAACGTTATAATAAGATGTTATACGAAATTTCATAAATATTGTTCCTATGAGATCTCACATCGATTAGAGAGAGGAATGAGTGTCAGGAAGGATGTTGGGCCCGAAGGAGATAGATTGTGAGATCTCACATTGGTTGGAGAGGGGAACAAAGCATTTTTTATAAGGGTGTGGAAACCTCTTCCTAGCAGGCGCGTTTTAAAAACCTTGAGAGGAAGCCTAAAAGTGAAAGCCCAAAGAGGACAATATCTGTTAACGGTAGGCTTGGGCTGTTACAAATGATATCAGAGCTAGACACTAGGCGGTGTACCAGCGAGGACGTTGGCCCCAAAGGAGGGTTGATTTTGAGATCCCACATCGATTGGAAAGAGGAACGAGTGTCAGTGAGAACATTGGGCCCCGAAGGAGGGTTGATTGTGAGATCCCACATCAATTGGAAAGAGGAACAAGTGTCAATGAGGACGCTGGGCCCTAAAGGGGGGTGGATTGTGAGATTCAACATCGATTGAAGAGAGAAACGAGTGCCACCGAGGACTCTAAGCCCCGAAAGTGGGTGGATCATGATATCTCACATTGGTTGGAGAGGGGAACGAAAGATTCTTCCTAAGAGTGTGAAAATCTCTCCATATAGCACAAGCCTTTTAAAACTTTGAGAAAAATCCCTAAAAAAAATACTCATATTCATGTCTAAATGGATTAGGTATTTAAGCAATAAATAAGAATATATAAATTGAATGTTGCAAGAGTTCACCTCCATCCTAGTATGTAAACGGTAGATATAGCTTTAACGACTAGATTCTCAGGTTGTTTAAGACGTATAACGATCATTTTTCTTTGTTCATAGCTGCTTCCAAATGCTGTTCGAGAAATCACATCAGCTGCCAAGTTTTCTAAATGAGGCATCACATCCAATTCATAATATCATCTTCTGAGACCACTTCTTCCCACTCCCTAATCTTCTCAGTGCAACTCTCACACATTGCAGGCACCATGTCGTGTATAGCAATTTAACATACATATGAACAATTAGACTCCTAAAAATATTGTTCCTCAAAGTTTTTAAACCAACCTAACGGTTAGTTATAAGAGCTCAAGCCAACCGATAGTAGATATTGTCTTCTTTAAAATTTTTATTTCAGAGTTTGTCCCAAAGTTTTTAAAACGCATTTGTTAGAGAGAAAGTTTCCACATCCTTGTTTCGTTCTTCTCCCCAATTGATGTGGGATCTCACAAATAAATGCGTTTACAAGAGTGTGGAAACCTCTCCGTAGCACACACATTTTTAAAACCTTTAGGGGAATTCCGAAAGAGAAAGCCCAAAGAGGACAATATCTACTTGCGGTGGAATTGGGCTATTACAAATGGTTTCAGAGCTAGACACTAGTAGTGTGCTAGTGAGGAGAAAGGAATGAGTGTCAGCGAGGACGCTGGGCCCTATAGAAGAGTGGATTGTGAGATTCCACATCGGTTGGAAAGAGGAATGAAGTATTAAGAGTGTGAAACATCTCCCTAGTAGATACGTTTTAAAACTGTGAGGCTGACGGTGATATGTAACGGTCCAAAACGAACAATATCTACTAGCGGTGGGCTTGAGCTGTTACAAGTCGTATCGACACCAACAATTGTACAAAATCATGGGTCCATGATGTGCACTCTTTGGTATGGTTCAACCCACATGAAAGCATACCTGCATATGCAGGTTGCAGATTGCGGCGCAGTACTGGCTGCTGCAGGTATGGGCTAATGCGTGGGCCGTAGCAGGTTGCGCCTCGGTTACTCGAGTATCAATCGGGCTGCAAGCGCACGGTTGGGGCTGAGGTGGTGCAAGTGATTGGTTTGGGTCTAGGTAGAATAGTGTCAGTAATGGGCTGCAGTTGGGTAACAAATTTAGGTTCGACCCAAAGTCCATGGACTTCGTCTTCTCTACTCGTTTCCCTCGAGTTTTTCAATTAGTTTTCTCTCTCCGACGTTCGTTTCTTGCCGTTTTCCCTTTGGTTGTTCGTCACTGACCCTTCTTCTTTGCTTCCCACCGAGTGTTTCTGGTTATATGCACCTATTATGTGCAGATCTATAAGATTCTAAAATCTGAAACTCAAACCCTCTTTTCCGACGACGAATCACATTGTGAAGGCGTGAGAGCTTACCTCCTATATACGTGCAGTCGTCGGTGATCCCTTTCACAGTGTGAGTTGGTTGTTTCGACACTAGATCTATGAGATTATCGTTGTTGGAGTATTCTCGAAAATCACTCACTCTCCCTCTCTCGTTTTCTCTCTATGTTTTTCCTTTCTACTTTGCAGGTGTGTTCTGTGACGGTGACTGAGAGGGGTGCAAGAATTTCAACGCCTTGCCAAAAATTTTGCGCATTTTTTGGCGACCCTAGTGTTTTTTTTTTATATGTGGTCGTTACAAAATTCAACAACTTTTTTTATTTGACATTTCTTTAGTTTGTTGAATTAAATATCTCTCCACTTGATTTCATCATGTTAGGCCAATAATATCTTGGACTAATTTTTTTTATTATGTTGATTTTTATTATTATTATTATTATTATTATAAAGAGCTAAGGTTATAATAATAATAATTAAATAATTATGTAGGAAATTTTGGTCGGAGTCGTTGGAACCGCTAGAACCCCAACCAACCACCCACTCTCCATTTGATTCTCAGGCCGCCTCCTTTCGGTTGCAACAACATAGAACTTCTTCCCCATTTGACTTCTCCCCCAGTCGAGGTAATTGGAACCAAAGGGCGACTAGATTGCACGTGGATTTCCATTTGAAAATGAGACCAGTGAAAAAAATAAACAAGGAAAACCAATTTCTAACCGTCGAGTAGAGAAAAAAAACTCATAAGTACATAGACGCACAACCCACAAGCTCTTTACGCTTCAAGTCTAGGCTAACCAAGTAAGTTAGTTTTACTATTGGTTTGGTTAGATGACTTGTTTGCTATATGAATGACTCGTGTGCTGTGACCCCCTACATGTGTCATGTTTTGGTATTATTTGACGTGTGCTATGTTATGTCTATGCTACGATATATGTTATGTCATGATACAAGTTATTATATGTTAGAAGTTATACTATGATATGATTATGTATGTTATTGAACTATGTTGTGTTATCAATATCATGCTATTATAAACTTTGTTAATATCTTCGCTCTATGCCTATGAGACATAAGAAAGTCATGTATATTAATCATGAAATATGATGACAAGTATTATGTATGTATGTCTTATAGGAATGCTATATCAAGAAAAGAATGGAGTATGACTTGCATCATAAGTACATGTCATCCATTACGATATCATATACACTGTGATATTATACGCACTCCTTTTGCTCAGTGACTTCACACACGCACACACGCACGCGCGCGGGCATACACACACACATTATGTTCTTTGAGGTAGAATTCTTCACAGATTTTGTAAAGGAACTCGACAGAAGTTTGGACCAAAAAATAGAGCCCCGAGAGTTCGTCCAAGAATGGTAAGAGGAAGCAATGAACCTACTTTAAACACGCATCACTTCGTCTTTGTTTGGTGTTTAAATTTAAGAAAAATATCATGATGTAGCCGAAACTACGATCTACAACTTTGCTAAAGAAACCAAGTTGATTTGAGTTCAAAATAAAAAAAATACAAAAATTTAAAACTCAAAGAAAAAAACCTAATCGGATCTATGTTATGACTGTTAGAAGGAGAGATGAAGTTTTGGCGTGCCACATGTCAATCAGCGAGAGGAATGATGCGTGCTATCAGAAGGAAGACACCCGTCGGGTGCCGAGTAGAACGATGCAACAAGCGTGGCGTGGAGCGACATGTCTCCACCCAGACGAGGACACGCCACCTTCTACAATACCGATCCGACCCACGTATTTTGACCCAAACTGACCTGCCACCCACTAACCAACCCGATTCAACCCTTTGTCCAAAGAAAATTGAACTGACTAGCCCACTATTAGATAAGAAACCTTGACCTGTGACCCGCGCTTGCAGAATCCTCTCACGCATGGTACTTGCACGTGGCTGTCATGAGAAGAATATGTGACGACGTTTGGTAACGCGTGGCCTGCGAGTGTATGATGATTTTTGGTCTGTTCGATTTCCTTTTCTAGCTTTTTATCCTAATTATGATGCTAATTATGTGAAATAAGTCGTAATCGAGGAAAATTACTTCTTTTGGACACCCTCCTAGTGATAAAAAGAAATATCTCAACATATCTACTTCTCTACATATGGCCCACACATGCAAGCATGGGCCCACCAGGTAGGCTCACACACCCCTTGGGTCTGACTCGTCGTGATAGCACTCGCTAACAAGTTTTGCCAGATACTATAGAGGGAAAGGGTAGGCATGATCTCATGACAAACATAAATGCCGTAAATCCTAGTCATAATGTATACGTTTGTACTCATCATAATGGGAATGTATTACAGTGCACATGACACACAAATATGCACGAGGTTCTCATAGCTTTTAATCATGAAATATTATATGAGGCAAGACAAACCTCCATTTATTTATAACATATTAAGTTTGTAAATTATGCTTACATAATTCCTCTACAATATGTAACACATAACATAGTTGTCACGAAACTTAAGCATTATAGAATATCGTTTCCTTAACAACTTTGACATGATAACATCAAAGCATAGCTTCTATGCATAGCACAACTTATCGTGGCTCACACAACATGTTGAAGCTTACCACATCATAGCATGACATAACATAGCACAATATGGAATAACATAGCATAGCATGACATAACACAACATAATATGAGATTATAAAATATATCGTAACATATCATTCATACATATGACACGTGCAATGGCAATGGGGGATGCATCGTCATACATAATATAATTCATCCAACGAAGTCGATCGTGGAGCTACTTACTTGGTTGACCTAGGTCAAAGTAACTAATTATTCTTGGTACCAGCCTAAATCTACTCCTAAACATCCAATTCAACCTCAGATCCATCTTCTTCATGATATCAATTAAAACAAAATCATTGCAAAGATCAGTCACCTTGTATTCTAATTATTGAAGATAAAGAAATATCTCAACATATCTACTTTAATCTCTTTTAATTTTCCCAAATCAAGTCTCTTGCTACATATTTAAGATTCTTAAAATTAAAAATTATGTGGAGCTGGTTTGGTATAATTTTCGTTGAATATTTTAAGGTAAGACATCTTATACAGATGACGATGGCGTCGGTAAGAAGACCATGGAACTAGTGTTAGGGTAGCTGCCTTTATGTCTTTTTGTAGCCATTAGGTTAGAATACAACATTAAATTATTTTTCCTTTTTGCTTCAAATGCTACATTATTTACTTTTCCACTTTACAACTAACCCTCTACAAGACTTCTCTGATCTCATGACTTCCCTGATTTGTTTTTAGAGAATGTACTGAGGATACCTCCGTCCTGGACAGTAGATCTCTACATAGAGCTTGAATTGGGTACAAATTCATATCACTTGGTCGACCCGTCACCCTGGACCAATAACCCTCCTGCCTACCCAACTTGACCTAGCTTCTAGGTCGCACGCATACTTTACTCCGACTCATTACCAACCCGACCCGATTGTGACCCGCACACGTCCACCTCCCCTGACTCTTAAAGAAAATAAGTGTTCAATAGAATGTTCAAAGACAAGATCGTAAAGTGGATAGATAGGCTTTAGGAGGTTGGAATAGGGGTTTCATAACTGAGTAAATATCCTTTTGAACTTCCAAGCTTGTGTGTACCTCCATTTTGCCTTACAAT